AAAATATAAAATTTCACATTTTCTCCTAAACAAAATTTGCTTTTTTATAGTATATTCGTTATGAAATGAAATAAAATAAGATAAAATACCTTTCTAAGAAAACAAAGTGTGTATACTGAGAAAAAATTAAAAACATTCAACTATATTAATGGGCAAAGAATAGTTAAAGAAGTAACACTGTTTCACGTAAGGCAGTCAATATGGCGGAATTAGAGCGAGAAGTTGCCAACTGATAACACCATATATGTCATACTCCTATATTGGCAGTAAGAGCTAGTACCGTCCGAAAACACTACAGTACAGATATATCAATAAACACGTACGAAGGAAAAGGAACACATACGTTTATAAATAAACATGTACACGACACATTTACAAAACCGGCACTCAAGTACACAATACATTGACAAAAACAGTACTAGACTGTCTCGCTTTGATTTCGGAATGCTTACACATTGAGAAGTTAGATTACTGCCAATATAGAAGTATTACACATGATAAAAATATAGTAAGGTAGAACCGCTGAGACTCACTTTTAAAATTCTTGACGTTTCCAAACAATTTAATTTTTAAATTTACTCACAAACTCACACACACATTTTCATTTTCAATCTCAAGCAACAACAATTTCGAACAATTTCAATTTTTTATTTTCACTTTTATATGATTTTAAAATGTTGGCAAACTTCAAAAAAAAATCATGGCCGACAAATTGAGAGAACGGTTCTACCTTGCTATGTTTTTATCATGGTATTACATATATGGATAACACCTTGTATTATTGCATCATGTTTTTTCATTACCTTTTATTTCGCGGCAATGCACTTTTGGAGAGTATAGTCTTGTTCTGGGTAATGCTAATATCCGTGGTAAAAAAATGTTGAGAACATACATACGGATATTTTAGAAGGCTTTTCTCGCTCACGCCACAGACTTCAAGTCATTTTTGTCTCACAACAGGAAGCGCTGGAAATTTTAAAAATTTCGTATCGTCATCCTTGCGGTGGTATTTTGCAGCTTCCAAATGCTCAACTAATTCGTCTTTTTATTATTTGAAAAAATTATTTTATTTTTCGCTTTGTCGATCAAATTTTTTTTATAATATAATATAGTTTTCAGTCTGCTAGCTAGGTTTTGATCATTGTATAGGCTTACAAGTATGGAAAGCGCCATTTTGTTTGTTTACATTTGAAAACAGCTGAGATCACCTGATTTTCAATTCTCTCATTCTCCGCACAGAGTTACATTCAAGTTTCAGAAAAAACTTTAAAATGTAAATTGAGAAATATTTTAGAAAAATGTGTTTTTATTCATTTGAATTCAATAAAAAAAGAAATTAAAAATGCGTGCCAAGTCTTGCATTTCCAATAATAACCAGGCAATAATTTAAAATATTTGTGAAACTTATCGTTTTGCGCTAAAATACAACAATGTGCGTAAAATTCCTTGTCATTGCTTCTGTTTTGAATATCATATTCGTGCCTGCCGGTGGAAAAAATAGGTAAATTTACATTTATTTTCAAGAAAACATATCAGTTAAAATATATTTCTTTCCAGAGCGACATACGGACAAGTAAGATGATAACTTTGTATGATGAATATCGCGGAAAAACTTTTGTATCAAAATTTCTATTCTAATTTGCATTTGAATTATGATATCAAAAGGGATGATTTGGGACGTATTTTTTGAAGACAATTTTCTTATAAATCTTGAGATTGTTGATTTATTTTAGAATTAAAAAAGGTAGTTTATATTAAAAAATATATTTACACTAGCAGTATGTAAATTACTTTTATTCCGAATTGAAACGATTTTAATGAATATTCATGGTTACCATTAATAGTAGTATGACAGTTAGATGTAAATGCATATTTGACAAGAAAGATGGAATACAAGATTGCGCCGTCCTGGCGGTGATGACATATCTGTACAAAAAGTAATAAAAGACGAATTTGATGTTGAAAGAAAATGTGAGAACAGCAAATTTTCTTAATAATAAATTTTTCGATAAGGAACGTGTTTTGATTGTGCTAATTTGTAATAGCCTTATTCATAAACAATAAAGTAGCTTAAAAAAGGCTTATAAATTGAAAAATGTTTGTAAACGGCAATTTAAAAAGCTTTTTAAAATTTTTATTTTTTATTAATAAGGCAATAAAAATATGTGATTTACAATAACTTTTAACAAAGGAAATACGAAATAAGGTGATTTTTGCGGATGTGGGTATTAGTGAATTTCAGTGCATTTAAAGTTTCTGAGGTTTCGTTTACCTTTAGATCAGAATTGTCAAAATTGAGAAATTCAAAGTAGCGATACAATAATCATAGAAGAGAAGATTGTTCCCTGCTGTGATGATGAGTAAATTTACCACAATGAGGAAGAATATAACAATTAAGTGAAAAAATTTTATTTTTACAAATTTAGGAGCAGTAACGCGTTTCAAGAACGATATTTCAGACAAATCGTTAATGAAGAACTATTTTTCCTTCCTGACGGCGATCAAGTCATTTCAACCATAAAATAATATTATTTGCAAGAACCATTCACTAAAATTGTCAACAGATATCAACAGAATAATAACTACGATAAAAAAGCATGGGAGAAGTGTGCGAGAAACGGTCAACAAATTTCTTATAAAATATTTTGATTTTTGCTGGAAACTCAATGAGTATTAAGGAAAAGAAAAATTTGAAAATAATAAACAGATAAAGAGATGGGTGCACAAAAACTTTAGTTAAATGTTTTTCCCAAATTCTTAAAAAGTAAGCAAATCGATTTTTTTAATGTTACTTTACATCTATTTTCTTTTTTATGAATAAGGTCATAAGCATGTACCGTTTTTATAAATAAATCTTATAGCAATATGCTATATATTTATTTATACACTTTTTGGCTGGCGAAATATGTAATTTTTCAACTTAATAGAAAAGCGTATTTAACCACATTACTTTTCTTTAATATTGAATGGCGCAACACAACAACTCTTTTTGTTGCACGAAACCCTTGAACACGTGGCTGTCATCTATTTCTTCTGTTTCGACATTTCGGTATTTTGCATTTCTTTCATTTTGATGTCATTTGCATTGTCAGATTTTTGAAATTCGTTTTGGTTCGACATTCTGCTATTTCATAATTCTTTCATTCTCATGTCATCCATCTTCCATCTCTTACCTTCCATTGCCGTTCGCATCGTCGAACGTGCCTGTCAAACACTGCCGCCATCATGCTTTTCAGTTTGGCAGGCACGTCCGCTGTTTGGCAGGCACGTCCGCTGTTAGAAAGAGAATAGACAAAAAGGGGCATAGGATTCCATACTTGTAAGTATATACGATGATTTTGATGAAAATATCATGATACAAAAATAGGAAGGTAGAACCGCTGAGAAAAATTTTTCAAATTCTTGTCGTTTGCAAGCAATTTAATTTTAAAATTTTACACACAAACTCACACACACATTCTCATTTTCAAACTCAAACAACAACTTTGAACAATTCCTTTTTTTACACGCAATTTTATACGATTTTAAAATGTTGGCAAACTTCAAAAAAAAATCATGGCCGACGCATTGAGAGAACGGTTTTACCTTACTATGCTTTTATCATGGAAAATATCATAATCCCAGCAAAAGTCAAATGGCTAACTTGGTTCCTAATACTAGGTTCACATGTAAGTAGATTATCCTCATTTTCGAGCTTAACACCCTAATCTGTAATTATAACAAGAGATTAGCCATATAAAATTCGTCCCTTGTTAATCTGTAATTATAAAATAATCTCAGATTAAACCGATAACTTTTCGGTGTCCACCTAGTTTTATCGATTGTTTTTCCAAAAAAGAGGAGAAATGCCAAATGTAAAAGTAAACAAAAATGTACGCTATCAATGAAAAGAGGTTTGTAAAGGTATTTTTAATAAAATGTTAAGTTAAAATATATTTATATTGCTTATTATAGCATAAAAACGTGATCACGGTGGCACAGAGAAGAAACATAACTTTTCCTTGAGATGTGAGAATAACAACCACAACAAATTTGACGGCTAATAATCTGAGATTTGCCTATGTAAACGGGGTGATTAAAAAACGAGCTTTGATTGGGATAATATTGATATGTGAACATAGTTTAAACGTCATTAAGTGAAACTGCCTTCTTTTTTCTAACATGGTAAAACCGTTCGCTCAATTCGCGGCCATTCTTTATTTTTTGAAGTTCGTCTACTTTATAAAATTTAAATTTTCAGAGCAACTCAAATGCCAAATAAAAGTTAAACAAAATAAATAGATCAAAATATTAAATTTTTATTATCTGTTTTTGCATCTCTCTTGCGAAGGTTTTCCTGAAATTCTACTTCAATTTGTGGTGCGCGTGCTAATGATGCAAAAAAAAATATACAGTTTTTATGCGAAATTTTCTCATTTACTTCGCTGCGGCAACCGCTTATTGCAAACACATATGCATGTATGTGAATACATAATAAGAGAAACTTCCCTCCAATTTAGTCGTGTTATTGACTACATTTATAAATATGTACGTATAGCTAGCTAATAATTACTTTACTACATACAAATCGTTAAATTAATTAGTTTACAAATATTTGACTAAATTTACTTAAATTTAGTATACTTGTAGTTGCAGGTGTATAAAAGGAATGTCATACAATAATTCACTTATTCTGCTCTCACAAAAAAGAAATAGATTTTTACGATTCGTTAATTAATGATACGACTTATACTTACAATTGTTTGAGCCTTTTACATTGAATAGAGAGTTTACACAATTAGTCTTTACTTGACTTGGCTGATAAATAGTTAGCTGGACCAAAGCGCATTTTGTTATTCCAGAGTATTGAACACACGCTCAAGTAACATAAGGACGAGTGTATTCAAAATATACATTCATTTATGCAATATGTACGTTTGTATGTATGTACGCTTGACTAACATCTTTCTTTTTTACGTTTTGTTAAAAGTGCAACAAAAAATATATCAGGTTACAGTATGCGGTACTTAAAGTTATATAAGTACTGTAAAATGTTTCAGGAAAAATATATTACTTACATATGTATCTTTAATATTTTTTATACCATAGTTTGTGTGCTTCATAGTTTAAGTTTGATTGTTTAGTGTCAGATGAGTTTTGCTTCGTTTATAAATAATATGAGAATGATCAAAGCTGACAAAAAGAGTTATCACAGCTGCAATTTGAGTTTGGTTTGCAAAGTAGAAAAGTATGAGATGAAAAATCAATTCTTGTATTGAGTATTCAAAGGGCGTATTTCTAACCAAACTGCAGTCGACACTAAAGTCAGTTGCAGCTTTTGGACACAATTTTCAATGAAATATCGGCCAAGAAAGCAGAAACTAACTTAAGAATCGACTTTATTTCGACTCCGAACATGCCATGTGTCTTAACAAAAACAGCAGTTTTAGAAAATAGACGTAGCTAATGGTAATAAAATTACAAAAAATATATAATAATTATAGTATAAAATTTAATCTACTAATTGTGTATATGTATTTTGCTCTTGTCCGTTATTTAGGTTTCTATGTTTGGCTACTGTAGGCATGTATATATGTACATATATATGTAACTCACATTTCAAGCATAGTTGGAAATTTAAAGCTTACGTTTAACCGTTTAACTAGTTTACTTAGTAATTCTTACTTCCCTCATATTCACATATACGTTTTCATATTATACTCATACTTAGTATTTAAGCTCGCAGATATCCTAAATGGCAATAGGCGGGAGCGGCGCACTATTGGATGCCGCTGAAGAAGGTAAATGTCAGTGCCATTTAGATTTCTGAGCAGTTATGTCTGCGCGCAAATTTTGAGTAAAGCAAATGCCAAGTATCTGTAATAGAAACAAATGAAATTAAATATTTTACTTCAAGTTAAATGAAGTGGAAATCGGAGTGTATTTGCTGAGACAAATCAAAAGGTAATAAATAAAACAAACCTGTACAAAAATAAGTACAATAACGCTGGTTGAAATTATAATTAAATTACGCTCAATCCATTCTTCACCTGCTTGTACACAGCCTTTTTCGTAAATGATTTTGGATATCTCAAAACTCTAGGATAATACGAAAATAAAAAGGAACAACACAGAAAAATTAAAAAAAAATCATCTTGTACAAACAAAACAAATATAAAAGGTAAACAAGTTTGCAACTACTACATAGATACATGTTTCTTTACTAGGGATGTTAATTTTTCAGCTTTTTCCGATCCCGGCATTTTCGGGATGTCGTTATCACAATCCCGGGATCCCGGGATCTAGATATTTATTACTTTTCAACAACTTAAATCGAAAAAATTGCTTCTATATTGTTTGAGAAGCTCTCCTACCAATAAAATAAATAATAAATAAATGAGTTTGAAACCTACTTTTTTATTTAAAGTGGCGTTTTTATTTTTTCTCCCAGACGTCAGGATTTATTTTAAAGGATTTTGTAATTTCAAAGATATGATTGATTCCAAAAATTATTTAAAAAATGCAATGGAATGTAGAATAAAAATATGGGTACCAAATATAAGAGGAAATTTCTTTTGAATTAAAAAAAAAAACACTATTTGGATTCACAAGTACGAATATGTAATTTTTTAACCTGATAAAGTTAGAATGACGAAATTGGAGGATGTTATCGAGTTTATTCAAGCCCTTAACATGTAATTTTTTCAAAAACAAATATTGCGAAATTTCAAGATTAAAATATTAAAAGTACATTTTCAATACTTCTGCACCAAAAACTTGAATCTTGATGAACAAGATATTTATAAAAAATATTAATTATTAAATACAAAAATAAATATAGCCAATACTAGTCAATAAAAGGAGTTTCTATTATTGCCATCAGTGCAAATTACAAATCCCGAAAATCCCGAGATTATTTGCCAAGAATCCCGGGATTTTTGGGACCTTAAAAAGGCCGGGATCCCGGGTTTAAAATTCCTAGCATGTACCCTGCAAAAATCGTGACTACTCCATGCATGTATGTAAAGAGTCCTCCCTAAGAGTCAAGGAGTACTAGAAAATTAACCACAATTCATATAAAAAATGCGCTCCAATTAATATTGCGATGTCCTCTGAATTACATCAGAGTAGCACAAAACTGCTCCAACATATTAACAATGACATTGTTGATATATTTTTCCGTTTTTATACGCTTTTGTAGATGCTTTTTCGCAATTAATAAAAACCAAAAACAAAAATAAAAATAAAAAATTACATGTCGCCCCTGAGGAGCACTTTTGTAAGTACTCCAATGTACCACAAAAAGACTACATGGTCCAACGATTTTTGCAGGTTATACGCATAAAACTACAATATACAATGTAAGAAATTTTGCACTATATAGACAACAGGACCTGCACAATTAGTATACAAATGCACGAAGATGCCACACTGATGAGGTGTGCTTCTAGCCAATCTTCGCCAGCTCGCAGGCAGCCGCGCTCATAGATATGTCTCTCCACCGGCTTAACACCACCACCAGTTTCAATGTAAATCATGTAATTTTTGCATTAGTCAGACAACCAAATCATTTTCGGATTAGTTAGTGAGCATCAGTTAGAAAAGTATTAATCATATAGATAACAGTAATACGTTAATTACAAGAAATGCCTTCTTAGCTTTATCTGCAATACCACTTACATATCCTTCCTTCCGCACATCGTAACCGCACTGCTTGTTTTTGATTAACTCCGTCGGCCGTCGACGACAGCATGAAAACGGCACCCCACATGCCTCACGGCTGCCTATCGCACTCGATGAACAATTGAAATAATTATTGCTATCCCAATCTTTGGGGCCATCGATGCCACAACACTGCAGCCAATCCTCTTGTATCCAATCGATGAGATTTTGTTGATCTGGATCTTCGCGATAATGTATGATAAAGGCCCGTAATCCGTCCGTTGCTTGATCTTTTATCTATAAAACCTTTTATTTAGTAACAAGAAAATTTCAAATAAAAGCTGCAATAGACTTACCCAACCTTTGTCCTTCAACACGAAAGTCAATATACCTAGGCTGATTTCGAACATCAGCAGCAAGGACAAGAAGACTGCATACTATTTAAAAAATAATTAGATGCAATAGATTACGGCCCTTCTTTTCAGCTACATATGTACATATACATATATCGACACCGGATTGGAAGATCGACCTATCCCGGCAGCCAGTTCGAAAACGCTTCATCTCAGAAAACTTTTCAATAACGCCCTGCTTCAGAATTTAATTGAAAAACGCCCTATCTCAGAATTCGGTTCAAAAACGCCCAATCATAAATAAAAATGTATTGAAAATGTGCTGAGATAGGGCGTTTTTGATCCGAATTCTGAGATAGGCTGTTGTTGAAAAGTTTTCTGAGATAGGGCGTTTTCGAACTGGCTGCCGCGATAGGTCGACCTTCCATTCAGGTGTCGATATGTACACAAATCTAGTTTCGACTGCATGTACATTAGGGCGGAGTAATTTAGTTTCGAAAAAAGTGTATGGCATATTCAAATTGTACGTTCCATTCTAAGCAAAAATGGTGAACAAGCTATATCCCAAAAATGACGTTGGACCCTGCCAATTTTTAAAAGAAAAATCAGTATACAGTACTATTTCGTTATTCCGGACGAATATAGTTTGGGGATATGTCAGGATTACTGGATTTGCCCTGAATATAGAAAGCTTGATATTTAATGAAATAATGATATATATATATGATTTATTTTGGAACGAATTTCCGTCATCCCTTGTCAAGTTTGGTTTGTAGACAAACCGGTTTCGGCATTGTGCCATCTTCAGTGTCATTTTTCGTTCAACCAACACCAACACACATATATATGTAAAATTCATATTAGAGCCTCATTCATTCAACGGATTTTTAAAATGTTCTGCTGCACATCTTATTTCTTTATCTGAATGAAGAAGATATTAAACTTTACATTTCTCGGTAATATTTATTTTGCGAATGCATACATTTATATTATTTAGCATTACAAATGAATTTCAATAAAGCTTTTAAGTTGCAATAACACATATTTGATATAAACCTTAAGCAAATACTTCAAAGATGTACCTATGATTTTTATAAAATAAATAAGCAACTTTAAAGGAACTCCTCCAAAAGGCCTTCTGAAGTACGTCCTATAAAAGCCCTTCTGGGAGGCCTTCTATGGGTAGCGAAAGAAGGAGCCCTTCAATTTGTGCTACTCCATACATAAAAGAAAGGAGAAAAGAATGTAGAGTGGAAGGCCTCTTGACTCTCAGGAAAGCCTTTCGGAAGGGTTTTTAACTCCTGAAATTATCTACTGGGCAATTGTGTGCATATCGACCGATGAGTGGAAGACAGCCTTGTCCAGGCAGCCGGTTCGAAAATGCCCTATCTGAGAAAATTTTTCAGAATTTAGTTGAAGAAAGCCCTATCTCAAAATTCAGTTCAAAAAAGCCCTATATCAACATATTTTCAGTTCTAAGATAAGACGTTTTTAAAACAAATTCCGAGTTAGATCGTTCTTCAACCAAATTCTTAGATAGGCTACCACTCATAGGTATTCTAGTTCTCTCAAAAAGTCCCGGTACCCTAAAAAAAATGCGTGTGTATCACCGTACACATGATAGAAGTGAAACTTCTTAAAAGAGGTGTGAGTACCAGGTACCTACTCACGAAATTGGATGTGTAAACATATGTTTACGGTTCGGTAAACCATTAGGCGATTGAGTTACATACATAGGTTTGGTTAGAAATCAAACAATAATTTCATTTCATCTTATTAATTTTCTGATATACATATAGTTTATTTATTCATTTTCCGATAACACCGCCTTATATGATTTCGCGCTTCTAGCATCCATTACCAAGGCACTAAGTAACGTACGCACTTTTGTTTGCAAAATGCATTTATTTAAATTGAAAGAAGACAAATTCCATTGTGCGGCATTTATTCTTACTCGCTTTTTATCTTCCAAGGCGAATTCATATATCGAGCCCTAACCGCCAAAATAACGTAAGCGACATTTTTTTCAAAATTTTATTTTTGATGCAGAAATATTCCTAGAGCATTTCTGCATCAAAAATAAAATTTCGAAAAAAATGTCGCTTACGTTATTTAGGCGGTTTGGGCTCGATATATTTATTACGAATTCATATCGAGGGCTTATATTCAATACCCTCTATCTGCAAAAACTCAATTTTTCAGAAGAGCAAAAAAACTGTTTTGGCAGCTGTTTTTAAAAGTGTTAATAATTTTAAGTACACACGCATGTCTTAAATATTCACGCAATATACTAAAACTAGTTTTTTACTTTTAATTCATTTAATTTTAGTTTAAAGATCAGATAGAGGTTATTGCAATTCGAATTATAACTATTTATATAGAAAAATTTGCTGATAGAGGGTTTTGCAGAATAATGAAAATGTCAGTTCTTTAGACGTAAATACTATGTTAAACTAAGATTTTAATGCGTTTAATGTGTTTTTGTGTCAAAAGAGTATTTCACGTGATTTCGAAATTATATGAGAATCATTAGCACTGTTAAAAGAGGATTCGCTGGCTGGTTTACTGTCCGTTCAGATGAGGAACGAGGCGAAACGTACAGCTGATTCGGCTGTAAATGCCGAGCAGTACGGGGGAAAAGCACTGAAGACAATTGTAACACCCAGCCCTTTTGTTACCACCATATCTGGAACCGTCTGTGAAAATAAGCTCCCAGGTAATTTATGAGTATCAAACTGGGCAAATGCCCTTGCGGTAGAGTTTTTACTTTAGTAAGCATCGGATGATGTCGAATTCTTTGATGTAGCTTAATATACGAAATAAAGGTGATTGCTTGCTACATCAGTTTTTTTTGTTGAAAGCAGGATTCGACGTGAGAGATAGCTTTTATATTTTATAGCTTTAGCACGGATGCTTTTTCTCCTCTGCTACATAGTAAGGTGTTTCTAGCAATTTAAGATGTTTTTTTGCGCAGTGTCCATAAATTACGAGCCCAAAGTCAACTTTTACATAATGACAGTTCTGCTTAAAAGTAGGTTTATTGTAAAAAATCATTCCAAATATTTTCAATGTATCAGTATAGGGGAGGGGTGTTAGACAAGGAGAGGGTTGGATGTATGTATTTATTTGTATTTTCTGCATATGTGAAAAAATTACTTTTTCAGCTTAAATCTGAGCTCCTGAAGATTTGGACCAATTGATTAGATCGTTTAGTATGTTAGAAAAACTAATTTTTACTTGCGTCAAGTCCTTAGTCTTAGAAAAAATTAAAATATCATTAGCGTATTTAGTTTGGCAATAGGAATAATAATAGCAGTTTCCCACTCTTGATGATATAACCCTTGAAATAAAATGTAGTTATGGAGTTTAATGACTCTATGTTTGATGGGATACGGATGATTTTTTAGAACGGGGTACGGGATTTTGTCTGCACCAGGGCTTTTGCCTGTCATCGAAGAGATGGTTGGTCAAACTCTTAAATAGATATGAGTAAGAGAAAATTGTGAGAATCTTGGGACCAAGTGGAGGCAAATAAACATATACACATCGCTCATTTACTTTAGTAGTGTCATAATCCAAAAAATACAAATTTTGAGTTGAGTATGCAGAAATTATCGCTACGTCTTCTTCTATTTCGTGTAAAAATATCAAAGCTGTATCGATTAAGCCCTGTATGCAGCTCTCAAGAAAACAGTCAAGAAAAAATTGCCATTATTTCGCGTGTGTGTCCAAGGAATTTTGACATTTTTTGATACTTCACAGCCTGTTGCCTCACTCTTTCCTCAAGAAATAATGGAGCGGGCATATATTTCTGTTGCAAAACTGGGTTGCCTTATGCTCTTTCTTCACAAAAAACTTTAGAAAACCGTAGTAGAAAGCGTAGTAAATTTCTTAAGAACTGCGTACTGCCTTAAGGAAATTTGACTCAAGAAAATTTCTTAGCCATTTCTTGTACGCCATTTTATATGGAGTTTTTGCTTTTCTTGAGAGCTGCATACAGGCCTTTACCAGAATCGCACTAGAATAAAATATGAATTCATTTTTAGTATCGGCGTATATGTAAATTCAAAACTTTAAAACCGTCTTTCTCGAGTTTTGATTTTTTGAGTTATGAAATTATTGTAGTAAATGAGCGGACATGTATATACCTGTAAGCTACCGGCCAAACCCGATCTTAGAATAAACTATTTTTGTAACTCTCATCATCAGTCCAACTGAAGCTACGCAGTCCACAAGATTTGGTTTCGGTTGGACATCGCATTAGGTGGAACAAGTTTAGCCTGGGCAAAACTAGTTTGACCTAAGATCGGATTTTACCGGAACATATACATACATGCATCGGCACATGTAACTAACCCAGTCTTTATTTGACCTGCCACAAAAAATGGTAATGAAAACGATTTTCCAGCAAAATTGTGTAGATAGAGGATTTTGCTTTTGTAACAAAATGTTATTGCAGATAGTGGATTTTTCAAAATGAGAATATAATACCATAAAAGCAAAATTTTAAGTTTGGCATTATTGTCATGGCTGAAGGATAAATAAGAGCTCACGTTACCATCAAAAACTCATTTTCATCAAAATTGTAGATAGAGGGTATTGAATATAAGCCCTCGATATATTCATGTGGTAGCAAGAGTATAAAAACATAAAATTACCTTATAAATTAAAAGCATAAGTATCACATGTATGCGTAGGCCAATTCATGAAATCATTTCATGCGTTTGAGTAGAAACTGAATGAATGAACACCATTTCATGATTTCAATTAACGCAAAATAGAGTTTACGCACTTAGTTTTTACTCAAATCGATAGTAGTAAATGACAGAATGAATTACAACAAACACATCCTTTTGACATAATGCAAGCCGAAAACGTTGGTTCAAATCAATCCGCAATCAAGTTGGACGTTTTGCCCCCAAACATTGCAATTTTGCGAGCAGTGTCATTGTAAAATCTCATTTTAAAAATTTCATAGTTTCGACTTACATTTAAAAAATTCAACGAAAGCGCGTACCTATTTCGGCTGAGTTATCCATTTTCGGTTATTTAGTGTACAAAATAAACGCAAATTAAATGAGTTT